AAGTTGGAATTATCTAAACAAAATTTTAATTCTTATAAACAGACTATACTGAGAATAAACTTAAACATTACTGTTTCCTACTGCTACTTTTTTCCTTAGAACTAATGATGAATGATGAGGTAGAATAGACTTCAGGAGATTTCCTAGCCCTAGACCCCTAAGTGAAGTTTGCATTGACCTTTATTTATATTTTCAACTACAATGGTGGCTTTTCAGGAATGAAATGTGTTGCTGAATACTCACTCTTTAATGCAAAGACTGATGTTTACTTTTTCAATGGTTTAATCTCACTAACATGTAAGCCGTGAGCAGACCCCAAATAAAACACTAATTTGTAAAAACAGGCCATTTTAATGTTTTTACAATTTAATAAATAATTCTATTGATGACTATGGTTATGAAAGTTGTTTGGTAGTAGTCACAGTAATGGTGGTTTTCTTGATTGGTCTGTAGTCTTCAATAAGTTTAAGTTGCTGTGTGAAACATCTGTCAAACCAGTAAGACTGCACTGATGCATCCATCATTCTCAGGATTGTTTGCTACCTGGGCATATTTACTCCAAATAACCTTGCCTTGTGTCACAAGGCAAAACCCACTCACATGTACCTTTGGTAATAACACCCAAAATTATATATAGTGGCGATGAAGGATATTTTTTTCCACACCAGTATTGGCAGGCAAAACGTAGCTTTCAGTTCAGGATATTTAACATGGGCCTTCTTGAAATGTAAGCCCATTGGCCTAGTGAACCTTTCATTTTCAGGTAGTTTTCTTGAAAAGTCATCTCCAACAAAGCAGACTTTAGTACCTATCCTCTTCCATGCCTCCTTTTTTCTCTTTCTAGTTCGAATAACTTTTAATATTTCTGTTTCTCCCTGGGCATGAACTTAGGGTAGAGGGTCTTCCCATTTTCCTGCCTTTTCTTTTCATTTTTGTTTAATCATGTTGGAAAGTACTTTTGACTGAGATTGTCTCTCTCTGTCCAGCAGATAGGCAGGTACTCCCTGTGATCTTTTCATCATTCTTTTGTTTGGTGTTTCTCTTTTCATGCATCTTGATAGTCTTCTTCATTTGTATTTTTCATCATGGCACTGTTTAGGGTAAAGTTTAGCCTTCAGGCCAATTTTTTTTTTGCCTTTGTTGAATATTCATGAGCCTCTCCACTTTCCTTCTTTCTCTTTTTCTCATGGTAATCCAAATGATACCCATAGCGTTTATGGTGTGATTCAATATATTCATTTTGTGGCGTGGTGACAACTGCACAGTGTCAGGCATGTGAAGAAAAGTCTCAACTTTGGGGTCTACAGACTCACGAGCTGCCTCTGTGCTGATTTGTCTATGTTGAAACATCCTTAGTTCCCTAGGATGAAGTGTCTTTGGTCATGATGTATGATCTTTTTAAAGATTTGTTGCATTCTTTTTGCCAGTATCTGAAGGTTTTTTGCATCTCCATATTCATTAAAGAGATTGGCTTATAGTTCTCTTTTTTGGTTGGATCCTTTTCTGATTTTGGAATCAGGGTAATGCTAGCTTCCAGGAAAGATTGGGAATGCTCCTTCCTTTTCAAGTTCATTAGAGTTTGAGGAGCATTAGAATTAGATTTTTGTTGATGTTCTTTTAGAATTTTGCAGTGAATCCATCAGGACCTGGGCTTTTTGTTGTTGCTGTTCTTGGGGTTTTTAAAAACTTATTGCTTCAATTTATTATGTTATTGGATTTTTCATAGTTTTAAAAGCTTCTTGGTTCAATTTTGGTAATTTATATGTATCTGAGAATCTCAATTTCCTCTGAGTTCTCCAATTTATTGGCATACAGGTTTGCAAAGCAGTTACTAATAATATTCTAGATTTTGGTAGTGTCCATTATGATTTCATGCATTGATTTGGGGGTTTTTTCCTCTGCTTTTGTTTGTAAGACTGGCTAAGGGTTTGTCTACTTTGTTTAGTTATTTGAATAACTAGCTCTTTGACTTAAATTTTTTTGTAGTCTGTATTTGATTTCTGGTCTGACCTTTATAATTTCCTTTCTTGTACTAGATTTGAATTTGGATTTTTCTTGTTTTTCCTAGGACCTTGAGGTGCACCATTGTTATTTATTTGGGTTTGTGCTTTCTGAAGTGGTAATTCACAGCTATAAACTTCCCTCTTAGGACTGCTTTCACTGTGTCCCATAAGTTCTGGTATATTTGGCTGGCATTACTATTTAACTCTAGAAACTATCTCTTTTCTTCTTTGAGTTCTGTGACTCATTATTTAAGAGTGTATTGATTAATTTCCATGCATTTGCATAATTTCAGCGTTTCTCGCTGACTTCTAGTTTCATTGCACTGTGATCTGATAATAATCTGATAATGGTGTAATTTTGATTCTTTTGCATTTATGTAAACCTGCTTTATTGGGTAGTATGTGGTGTATTCTGGAGAAAGTTTCAGGTGCTATTAAAGGAGAATGTGTATTCTGTTGTTGTTGAATAGAACATTCTGTATGTATTAAGACCATTTGTTTGAAGGATTGGTTCAAATCTGATATATTTTGTCTAGTTGATCTGTTTGTCATAATGTATACTGTCATAAATAATCATGATATATTTAATTGTATTGATGTTCATCTGATCTTTTATGTCCAGTATTGTTTTATGAAGTTGAGTGTGCTGTTATTTGGTGAATATGTTTATAATTTTTATCTTTTTCTTTTGGAATGTTCCCTTAACCACTATGTAGTGACTGCCTTTTCTGTTGTTTTGGCTTAAAGTGTACTTTGTCTGAAAAGAGGATTGCCACTTCTGCTTGTTTTGGATTCTCATTCCGTGGAATATTGTTTTCCATCCTTTGATTTTTCAGTCTATGAATTTCTTTTGGGTGTTAAATGTTTCTTGTTTACAGCACACCACTGGATTTTGTTTCTTAATCCATTCTGCCGTCTGTCTTTTGATGTGAAAATTGAGACCATTCACATTGAGAGTTATTACTGATAAGTATTGAAATTCCTTTCATTGTATTCTTTTCCTATTTCTGATTCTTTCCCCTCTACTTGTTTACCCTACCTCATGTATTCATTCTGTTGGGCCTTTTAAGCATTGTCTAAACTTGTCTCTTTCTAGAATATCCTTGAGAATTTTTCTGGAGTGCTCTTTGGTGGTCATACATTTCTTTTGATGCTCTATACCATGGAATTATCTTATTTCTCCATTAACTTTGAAAGATAATTTTGTTGGACATATCAGTCTGGGTTAGAAATTGGTTTTTGTGGAGGAGAGTTGAAACATTTCAAGCTCATTTGACCTTTAAAGTTGGTGTTGAGAAATCTGCTGCAATTCTAATGAGTTTTCCTTTTTAAGTGACTCATTTGCTTTTGTTCAACAGCTTTTAAGATTTTGTTCTTGTGTGGAGTTTTGGAATTTTGACTACGATGTGTCATGAAGAGATAATTTTCTGATTGTGGCTATTTGGATTTCTATATGGCTCACTTATCTGTATATTAAGTTTTTCCCATATTTGGAAAATTTTCTATTATTTCTGTAAACAGACTATGCCATTTGTGCTGATTTTTCTGATTTTGATTCTGATTTTTCTGATTCTGATTTTTCACTAATTCCAATTAATCCTAGTTTTCCATCACCTAGCAGCTGTTGGATTCATTTTTAATGTTCATTTGTTCTTTTTCAGGTATTTCTCAATAATTGATCACTTACAACAGCCTCATTTTCTAGTTCTGACACTTTCCTCAGGTTGTTGCTTCTGCTGCCCATACTTTCAGTAGAATTAATTCACCTGACTTTTTCATGGACTGTAATTCTTTTCAGTGCTGGACATTGTTTGGCATCAGTTTGTTTGGCTCAGATAGCTTTTTATTAGTGTCTTCTGTAGATTGCTGATCATTTTATTAGGATCATTATCTGTTTAGTTATATTTTCTTTGAGCTTTACAAGCACTTTCTTGATTTGTATTTTTTATCTCCTTCTTTCAAATAATTTGGCTGTGTGACTTTTTATTTCCTCCCATATCAAAGCCCCTTGGGGAAGTGGGGAGTATTTGGAGGCATTTTTATGCTTGTCTTCTCATATTTCCATCTGTTTGTTTTCTGTGCTGAGGTTTGTCGGTTGATTATAGTGGAAGACTTTGGTGCTAGCATGGAGATCTCTTTAGTATCTGCTTTTCAGTGACATACTATGGGTTTGGCTAACTATAGGCCTTTGCTTCTCTCCCATAATCTTCTCACTTCCACTTATCTGGAAAGTGAAGCTGCAGCATATTTGGCTCACTATACAGTTCCCTCAAATGAGCCACAATATTGCTAATGACATGAAGGCGCATATACTGACACATAGAGAAAACCAATTAATAGCAATAATGTTATCACTTTGGCTATAGTAATAAAATCAGCAACAATACCATGAAAGACAAACTAGTTAATGACATACCCTAAGAACCAACAATGTACCATCCTTAACCACAGAAAAGAGATGTATGATTATAGTATAAACACTCAAGCCAAATACTGACCTATACTATCTACTAAATGAAACTTTACCTCCACTAACAATGGAACAGTATTCAACAATAACAGCATATAGTTAATTATCTATAGATTCATTAAACAAGTGCTTTACTAGTAAAGATAAAGGGTGTGGGGAATGGGAGCATTGAAAGTAAAATTTCAAAAATTAAGCAATGGAAGATGAGGAGGTGAGAAAAGTGAAATAAAGGATATTTCCATCTTTTTTGGGGGGGGGTACCAGGGATCAAACTCAGGTCCTTGCACTTGCGTAGCAGGTGGCAAAACCACTGAGCTAAATCCCGGGCCCTAGAAATAAAGGATCTTATTAAGGAGTAAAAGGAAATTAACAGTATTAGATGTAAGAAAAGAACAAACAAGAAAAAGGAGAAAAAAGAAAAAAACAGCAAATTAAAGGAAAAAAGACAAAATGAGAAAAATTAGAGCATGACAGAGACAGAAATGGGTTCAAAAATTCTCTATTTTCAAATGAGTGATTTCCTTCCAGGATCGCAGTCTTGGAATCCAGCAAGTCACATTCCTGTCTGCCTGGCTTTATAACTTCTGGAGTTTGTGAGGTGTCCCCTGCCTGCTCTAGAGACCACTCATATGTAACCTAGGCTATGGCAACGTACAAGCCAAGGTGCATCCCCACTTATGAGGGTAAATGGGAAAGCAATCAGACCACCAGTCTTTGCTGAATGTAGGAAGCAGGGACAGGGTGCAAGCAAACCACTAGACTCAGTGTCATCATCTTGATATCTAGCCACCTCTGAAAGCCACAACTGTTGGCTGTTGGGTCTGGTCTTCCACCATGGAGCATGGGGTCCCATGTCTTTTCTATCCTGAGCTTGAAATTCTCAGGGGATCTATGTCTAGGCCTCAGGCTTTCTACATCTGTCTCTCATGGCTATCTCTGCCACCTTGGTAGTGTAACACTGATAATCCTGGAGTGAAGCTGTACTGTAGTTGTGCTGTGTGGTGCAGTCCTATACAATCAACCTATTCTCAAAATGGCACCTGATTAAACTCTCCCTGGCAATATGGCAGGTGGTACACTGGATTTCTCCACCTCTATCTTGCCATGAAAGAGTCACTCCTGGAGTAAAATGCCAGTTTTTAGTTTATAACACTCCTGGGCTTTTCTTGGAGCTAACACTGCTGACCCGTCCATTATTTCTCCCTGAAGTTGCTAACTACTGGGGGCTTACCTTCTCTCCCAGGGTGTTAGCCTCATCCATGCTCAGGTCTAGTTGGTCAGTGAGTGCCTCTGTGACCCTGTGCTGAGGGGAACTAAAATGCAGAGCCAGTCAGGAGTAGGCAATTTGATGTGGCCAGGGTGCAGAATCCAGGGCATGGAGCTGTCTGGGTATGAATGTGGTGTGGTGCAGCTGCTCTCCCCATTGGACAACTTTAACTTTGATCACAGAAAATAACTCTACCCTTTTAGTCTACATTTCCGCTTTATATTTTCATGTCCTAATTTAGTTTTACATATCTCAATAGACTGTCACATTTATGGTTTTGACATTATATCTTTACATTAAAATATAGAATTTATGCATCATTACAGTATTGAATATTATGAATTCAACCATATACTTTTAATAAGTTTTATCATGTTTCCATGTTACCGATTAGGATCCTTTTCTTAAAGAACTTTCTTTAGTATTTCTTCTAAGACAAATTTGGTGGTGATGAATTCCCTTAGGTTTGTCTAGGAAAGTCATTATCTCACCTTCATTTCTGAAGAATAGCTTTGCTTTGTACAGTATATGCTTGCTTGGCAGTTTTTTCCACTCAGCTCATTGAAAATATCATCTACTCTGTCTTGGCCTGTGAGGTTTCTGCAGAGAAGCCAGCTGCCAGGCGTATGAGAACTCCCTTCAGTGTGATTTGCTTTTAGGACACTATCTGTCTTTGATCTTTAACACGGTCTTTGATCTAATTATAATATGTCATCAAGAGCAGATGTAGCTCAGTGGTGCCTCGCCTGCTTGGCAAGTGGAAGGTCCTGAATTCGATTCCTGGTACAGAGAAAAAAAAGTCACGGAGGTAGTCTTATTTGGGTTGAATCACTGGAGACCTTTGACCTTCCAATTTGTGGATATTTATGTGTTCAGGTTTGGAAAGTTCTTTTTTTTTTTAAATATGCTTTCTTACCCTTTTCTCTTTCTCTGCTCCTTTAGATGCCATTAAGCATATATTTGCTCTTTTGATGTTTAGCCCATAAATCCTACAAGCTTTCTTCATTCCTTCTCATTTTGTTTTCCTCTATATGTTTCTAAGTAATCTTAGTGGTCACAGATTTTCTTGTCCTTGATCAACTCTACGGTTGGTACTATTAAAATTTTCATTTTGTTCATTGTACTTTTTCAATCAGATGCATTTTTAATTTTTTCTCTATTTTCATGAAGTTCACTGAGCTTTCCTAAAGCAGCTAATTTCAATTCTTTGTGGACTTCTCTGTAGAAACATCATGTTTCTTTGGTTCTTCTTTTTTAATTTTTTGTACCGGGGATCAAACTCGGGTCCTTGTGCTTGCGCAGCAGGAGGTAAAACCACTGAGCTAAATCCCTGGCCTTTCTCTGGTTCTTCTTGATCCTTGCAGTCATGCAACAGTGTCAGAACACTGAAGTAGGTGGCACTACTTTCAGTCTTTGCAGTCTGACTTTAGGAAATGTCTTCAGTTTTAACTTTGTGCAGATATTCTGGGGAGACCATCTGTGGTCTCTAAGCCCATGATTGCTACAGCAAGCTCTAGAGGGTGGGAGCTGCTTGACCTCAGAACTAGCACAATTGGTTCAACCTGGACTAGAATCCTGCAGTGTCTTGGGCTGGGGTGGCGCTGTGGGAACACCAGTAAAAGGCCCACCACAGTAAAACCCAGCACTTTCCAGACAATCAAGACTCCTAACTCCAGGCTACTATACTTGGTCTGCTGCCATGTGGGAATATGTGGCCCCTGTAAGACTCAAGTTTCAGCTTGTATCACTGCTGGACGACAGCAGCAGCGTTTAATTATGTGCGCACCTCAGCAGTAGACAAGCCACAACAGCTTTGGGCTTCTGCTGACTCTCAGTGCTACACTAGTGGGGCTGGGGGAAGATTCCTGGAGACTTCTATTCTTCCAGCTTGCTACATTCTCTCCCAGAATCTATATTTTAGTTCAGTTGTAAAAAAGTCATAAAAGGTTACAAGGTCGTAAGAAACATAGATTCAAAAGTTAAATTTTTGCTACTTTATAAAATATATCATAATAACTACATATAAGAATACATTTTGTTTTATCCCCATATCTAAACAAGGAATTCTTTGAAATTTTGATTTCATAAATATTTTCATTACTTATGAAAAGTAAAAATAATTCAAACCATTGCAATTAAATTAAATGGATATCCATCACACACAATCATAGATCATTTATGAATTTCCCCATTCAAGTGCCTTCATAAATTCTTCTTCAGTGAAAGATAGCATCTTGGCAGCTTCAATATGCATCTATTTAAAAATAATCAAAATTGTCTGATTTAATATTAAGGACAGAATAGAACAACAGGTACCTTATAAAGATATGTGAAAATGTTATCAAAATATGTTCTGTTAGGCATTTAATGTGTACTCTAATTCCAATCATTATATTTGAAATGATAATTACATTCAGTGATCAACCTATAGAAACCTTTCTTGTCCAACAATAATAATGAATCAATCTACTATTAAAAAATAGTTCAGTATTATAAAACCTGACCATTTAAAAAGAGAAAGTTGGAGAGGTATGAATTCATGTCTTCTCATCACATTTATAGAAGTGAGCTTGAATCAGTGTTCACTTAAGGTTTTTAAAAGGAAAGCAGTCCCTAAAAAATAAGAGTTATTCTTGTATCTGGTACATTCTTGTATATTGTATAGTATGGAAGTACCTGTACTGTATTTACTTATCCCATTTTCCACATACTTTACTTACATGAAAATACTCATATACTTGGATGACACATTACAATCTTATGTATATTACATTTCATATGTACAATGCATTTTATTTAGATAAAATTTTGTGTCCAGGAATGTCAAAATAAAAACTAAACATACTTAAAGACATTAAATAGTAAAATGGTTCAGATAGTTTCCACACTTTCATATCCATTTTAAGATAGACTCACCTTCTGCCTTTTTAAAACATCAATTAATTTTAACTGTTTCTTAAAACCTATCATTAATTCTTCTTTTTGTTTTTCTAGCTTCTTGTTTTCTGATTTTAACACTTCAATTTTTTTGTGTTCTTCATTTGCTATATCCTACAAAAGGAAAAAGTCACATATATTATTTTTCTAGTATGCAGTTTTTTAATGATATCGCCACATCAGTAACTATTTTTAACTGAAATATATTTTGTGTACATAAAAATTTCTGTGCATTACTAAACTACTATAATTTGATAGGTTTTTTTAAAAAACTGTAACCTGATAGCTTTTAATCATGGACAGGTCTCTCTCATAAAAACAAGTATTTTAAGAATAACTCAGTTTTAATTCCAGTAGTATAAAGTAACTTGTATCAGGCCAACACTACTGACAGTAATAAATAAAAACTTAGGACACAATTTAAAAAATATATTTGTAGGCACAGATGATTAATTAGGAAGCAGAATCTGGAAGTAATATGATCTTACACACACACACACACACACACACACACACACACACACACACACAATTGCCA